GAGGAGGGGGGAGGGGGGAGGGGGAGGAGGAAAGGGTAGCAGAAGGAGCAGGCAGCCCCGGGGTCAACTCCCTGACAGGCACTGGGGCAGGCAGGAGGGAGCACTGGAGGGGAGTCTCCACAATCTGCAGAGCCCACATCCAAGCAGGTTTGAGGGTCAGTGCAGGTGACCCCAACTCTTCCACACATTTGGTAGAACTAAGCTTTCCTTGTCATAAGCTGTTTCTTTCTTCCTGACATCCCTGATGATGTCTGTAAGTCCCTCTGCGTACTGTGAACTGGCCTCTGTATACTGAGTGGACCTGAGCACATGGCCCTGGGGCTGACCATCAAGGGCACCAGGCAGAGGCTCAGAGAACATCCAGATCTGAGGTCGTCTGATGGGACTTTGATGAAGACTATTTGGGGCAGGGACCTTAGTCTAGAGTGACCCTCTGAAACTATCCCCAGAAGTTCAGGGACTTGTGACTGTGTATGTCATCAAGGAGAGGTTGGTGTCCATTAACTTCTACAAAGAAGTTCTCAAAAGTCTAGACCCTATAAGAAAGAAGGGAAAGGGGGCGGGGGGAGAAGCCTCTCTTTAACACTGGGGCAAGGGCTAAGAACGGGGTGACCAGGGTCACATATGAGGACACAGTCTCTGGGGTGTCACACCAGTGCCTGGGGTTGTGGGCTGCAGTCCTAGGTAAGTTGGGATGTAGAGGTTAGGGTCTCCTTGGAGACGTGTTTCAGAAACAACACAGACTAGAGAACCCACAGAAGGCGCCCTGCGTGGGGAGGATGGTTTCCTGTCTTTAGTGGTTTCAGGCTGGGGGTATAGCTCAAGCGGTAGCTTGAATGCTTGCTTAACTTGAAGGGAGTCCTGAGTTCCATACCCAGCACTGAATAAAAGCAGGTATGGTGGTGTACACCCGTAATCCTAGCACCCAGGAGGTGGAGGCAGGAGGATCAGGAGTTCAAGGCCTGCTTGAGCTACATGAGACCCTGGACCCTGTTTTTAATTTTATTTATTATTTATTTATCTATTTTTCTTTTTGGTTTTGTTTTGTTTTGTTTTTTGTTTGTTTGTTTTTTGTTTTTGTTTTTGAGATAGGGTCTCCCTGTAGCCCCAGCTGGCCTGGAACTCGCTATGTAGGAGACCCTATTTTTTAAAAAGGCAGTGGGGGGAGTTTCTATTGCCAGAATTCCAGATGCCTGACCACCATTCTGGGAACAGGTTGCCATTCCTGAGTCAGGGGTATGGCACTGTGGGTCACAGGTCCTCAGGAATCAGACAGGAGCCTCTGGAAAGAATTCACAGAAAGAATCTCCCCCTTTGAGGAATGGGGCTCAAGCCAACACCTCAGCCCATCCCCTGCTGGGGAAGCTAGCTGCCCATCTGGTACCCTCCACCCCCTACCAGCCACATACCTGGCTGTGCAGTGAACAGGCCTTTTCTGTCCCAGGGTTTCCTGTGCTTTGCCCTGGTGTTCTGCATCCTGGTGCAGGTAGCCTTCTGGAGATTCCACAACCCCACCCAGGTGAGTGCGGCGGAAACCCTACGCCTGGATCAGCCAGGTCTTTGTCCAGAGAGGCTGGTTCTCCCTTCTTCCCTGTCAGAGAGGGTCACCACAGGGCTCACTCCGACCCTGGCTTTAAAGGGAAAATATTCAGGCTGGAGAGATGGCTCAGCGGTTAAGAGCACTGACTGCTCATGTGGGTTCAATTCCCAGCACCCACATGGCGGATACAAACCGTCCTTAACTCCAGTTCCAGGGGAATCCCAAGTCTGTCCTCTGACCTCCGTGGCATTGCATGACACGGGTACACTCACATACGTGCAGGCAATACACTCATACACATAAAATTTAAAAAATAATAAAATATTAAAGGGAAAATATTCTATTTTTTAAAAAATTTATTTTTACTTTATGTGTGTGAAGGTATTGCCTGCTTGTATGTGAGTTCACCTGTGTTGTGCAATGCCATGGAGGTCAGAAGAGGGCGTTGGATCTCCTGGAACTGGAGTTAAGAATGGTTGTTAGCCGCCATGTGGATGCCAGGAATCAAACCCCAGGCCTCTGCAAGAGCAGTCAGTGCTCTTAACCACTGAGCCATCTCTCCAGCCCCCCAGAAAAAAATATTCTTGAATTGTCCAGAGACCCTGGATGGGGTCTAGGCCTCCAACAGCTGTGGCTTAAGGAGATGGGTATCCAGCAGTCCTGCCTGAGACAGTGGGGCCACACAGTATTCTGGTGACACATTTCCTGTCCACTGAGGGGTGGTCTGGCTGGCTGGAGGTCTGGGTCACATCGTGGGTGGCCTCAGTCGAGACAGCTGCCAGGTATCAGAGGCCTGGAGTGGTCCTGCAGCAGCTGGGGCCCATCTCCCCGCTCTAAAACACTGTATTTATATACTGAGCTCTGGACTTGGGGTCCAGGAGAGGAAGGGGCCTCACGGGGGCCAGAGAACAGACAATGGATGGGGCCTATTCTAAGGGAAGGAAGAGAGCCTGTCCCAGACCCTTACTCCACCCATACACAGACTGGCCATCAGGGCAATTCTCCAAGCCCTGTCTGACTCTGGGTAGGCTGGGGCGTCTTCCTAGCCGCTGGCCCGGTGGCCCATCATTTCTCCTGGGGTTCTGACTTCCCGTAGGGCCCATATGAGCCTGATGACCATGGAGGTGGCCTTGGTGAAGGAGCATGGGTTTGAACCAATCGGCAGGACAGCCTTCCACAAGGACTTTATTGTCCCTGGACCTCAATTTCCTTATCTGTAAGAGGAAAGTAGGGGTTCCTGCTTGAGGGCTATTGAATGCAAGGGATGTGAGCCAGCAGTGGAGGTTAGTCAGGTTCCTCTGTAACCCCCAGTACCGCACATCACATGGGTTGTCTGGAATGTGGCTCTAGTTCTGTGCTGTGCTGGCTGTGCTGAAGCCATGTTTGGTACCCAGCACAGTCCATGTAGAAACATCACAGCAGCCCCCTACTCTATGTTCTCCCTACCTTTGGGCCAACTCAGCCAAACAGGCTCCAGCCTTGAACTTGATCATCCCAGCTGCCCCCGGCCCCATTGGTGAGAAAGGCCACAGGAATTGAACTATGCTTGGAAGTCATGGGCTCGTTCACCCCATTTCTTCTGAACCCCCCTGAGTGACCCCCTAAGATATCCTGAAACAATCCATTGAAGGACAGAGGAGGAGGGGACCCTGGCAATCCCTGGGCACACAGACCCCGGCCTGGAGTGAGGCTAGGGTGCCCTCCCTATGCCCCCCCAGGAGCCCCCCACTCACAGGGTCCCTCAGCCCCACTTCCCAAGACACGACCTTGGTAGATGTTCAAAGCTGGTGACGGTGTCGGCGTGGCCCAGCTTGCAATACGATGAAAATGGAGTGTCAGGGCTGTTAATTACACCCTCACTACAGCCTGAGAGCCCCTTCACCACAATCCTGTCCATGAGGAATGGAAAAAACATTGTTGGCTCTCCTCAATAACTCATGTCAAGATGAAGCACAGAACAGGGGTGTCCTTGCAGCCTCACGACTAGAGCTAGACTACAGGCCACCTACAGCTCCACACGGGAGCTGGGGACCCTCTGGACATGGCCAGAGGGCTACCCTGAGGGGAGTCACAAAGCCCAGGTAAGTATCACAGAGTCCTGGTCTTAGAAAGGAGGCTGGGGAGACTCACTAGACATCAGGCTTCAGTCTGTAGGAACCTGGGTCAAGCACTTATGAAGGAGAGTTCATATCCCTTATCAGGAGGGGCCTGGACAAAGAGTGGTGGGGCATGGGGCCCGGGCTTCTGGTTGGAAGCTTCTACCCACCCTCCATATTTCCATGAGAAACAGGAGCCAGTCTCTTATGGAGCACCCTGAATCCCGTAATTGGTGCAGATGGCAGTACACACTCCCAGAAGCTGGGCTCTGTAGGGGGAGTCCAGCGTGGTCCCCAAAGTCCCAAGGTCAGGCTGCGAGGCCTAAGGCAGGGCTCTGTGTCCTGGTCCCTGGGGGTGGGACACTGGGCAGAACCAAGCTGAGCCGAACCCTAGAGCTTACGTCATTCCTATTGTCCTGTAGGGATGACAGTGGGCACAGGGCCCTGGGGCAGTGGGGACCTCCCTGGGCAATGCCAGGACTAAGTAAGAGAAACAAAGTTCCTAGGTTGGGGAGCTGGGGAGGATAGGAGGATAGTCTAAGCTGTTCTACCCATCCCAAGCAGTTCCAGGAGTCCCCAGTCCTCCCCAGGATCTGCTCTCTTGAGAACACAGTGGCCTCACAGAGCTCAAAGAAGCTGAGCCTGTGAGGGCCCTGGCCCTGATCAGCCAGCAACCAAGGCCAGCTTGGCCCCTGCCCCGGGCTGGGGGAGGGCTGCAGCGGTCTGAGCTGGAGATGACTCATGGGGATGTCTGGCTTTGTGGCGTGGATGGAGGGGGGAGGAATCCGTGCCAGGAGCAGCGCTTGGCACAGAGTCCCCCTGGCTCCTGCAGGGGCATCGGGCCTGGGCTGGGCTAGCCGAGCACTGCTACGGCCCACTTGTCCACTCCACCCTGCAGGCAGCCGGTGGGACCTGCAGTGGGGACCGGGTGGTAAGGCAGACACCAGGCCCTGAGGCAGAAACGCTTTCTGGAGTGCAGGTGTGAGTGACCAGAGGAGGCTTGGGGCCTTCGTGAGCCCCCCGGCTCTTCAGGGCAACCCTCAGTGGGTCCTGGCTGCTGGCCTGGTATGAGGCTGGGAATGGGGAGGGCAGAGTCTCTAAGGCAGAAAGGAGATCAGAAGTCCAGCCTTGGGCCAGATCACCAGTGAGCCCTGAGACAGTTCAGAATGTCTTCTTAGAAGAGGCAAGCTTCTACATTGTCTCGGAAAACATTCTTACCCCAGGGAGGACATCTTTATGATGAGCAAAGGCAAGAAACAGAGCTAGCAGGTGAAAACAGCAACTTCTGGGCTTGCTGGATGTGGGGTAAAGACAGAGCCAGCCTGAGCCCCAACCCCCCAGACAACTCCCTCCCTCCCTCCTCCTTTCCCTCTCTACCTCCTTCCTCCGTCCCTCCTTCCATCCATCCATCTCTCCCTCCTTCCTCTGACTCATGCACCTGGATCTGACTCCAAATGCCCCTGGCTTCCCTGGTCAGAGACCATTCCCAGAGCCCGGCTGCCCAGGACTCTGGGACTCTGGGTGGTTCTAGAGAAAGACCCACAAGCATCTTTGGGGAGGTAAGGTGAGGAACTGGTCCAGGCCTCTGTGCAGGCTTCTCAGCAGCCTGGGCCCATTATGTGTATCCAGGTCAACTGTAGCATCAAGATGCCACTCTGTGCTCCTGAGACCACTGCTGAGGCTGGGCAGCTGAGCCCACCTGGCCCCTGCATTAAGTTTAGGACCCCCTAGGACATCAAGTGGGACCACAGGATGGCTATGGTCGGGGGAGAGACTTTAGAGGAGGAAGCCCAGGACAAGGGCTTCCCTGGTTCTCCTTTGAGCCACAGTCTCCCATGATGCTCTTGGTGCAGGTAGAAGATGCAGTGCTGGACATCTATGACCTGGTGTATGACCAGGCAGTGAGGAACCCATCTAGCAGCCGGTGGCGGGAGCTGGCCGCCATTCAGGACACGGTGAGCTGCGGGGCAGGGTGACCAGACTTGCTGTGTTCTGGAGAACAGACATCAGACACCCTCCCCTGAGTCAGCCATCCTGGCCAGGCTTCAAGTGGGGGTTCCCACCCTGGGTAGTGGACAAAGAGCTCTCACCCATCTCCCTCTGTCCTAAATAGAACTGGCTGTCGAATGGATGGGCCAGTACAGAACAAAAGGGCGGGCCCTGCTTAAAACGGATTGAGTATTCCAGGGAGGAATGACCTGTTGCTGAAGGAAGTAGGTGTCTGGGCACCGGGCAGGCAGCATAGCCTTATAGAGGCCCTGCTCTGAGGGGAAACGGACCCTCGGGTTACAGGAAGGCCCTCAGAAAGCCAGGCAGTGTTTCTCTAGAGTTACTATGCCATTCTGAGCCCCAGCCCTGGTCTCCGGTGGGGGCAAAGTGCTGTGATACCTGTTTCCCTACCAGTCCTGTTCACCCCATGTTGCACCATGGCCTGTCTTACAGTTTCTGTGTTGTGGGAAGAGATCTCCTTTCGGGCTTCTGGTGAACACGAGAGCCAAACTCTGCCAGGGCCAGGAAGCCATGAGAGAGGTGAGGAGGAGGAGGGGGTGGGCTTTTGCACTCAAGCCTGATGAGACCCCCCCCTCCAGGGCTGGGCATTCCGGGCTTCCCCTGGGCCGGAGGACATCCTCTCTCTCCTCTTACCCTCTTGGGGCTTAGGGAAGTACCCCTGTGAGGGAGGCAGAGGGAAGACAGCTGAGCAAGCCCATGGAGTGGCCAACTTGACCCTAGTCCTAGGCCCAGGTCTCTTCAGCAGGCTGGTGGCAGGCACACACCCCTCCCACTCCTTCCCTCCTTCATGAGATTTCCCCAGGCCAACAAGAACCTCCCCCTTCTTCCCTCAGAAGCTTCTAGAAGCTCAAAGCCAAGGATCCACAGAACAGGGTGGTCAGCTATTTAGGGGGAGTAGGGAGGAATCTTGAGGGACCCTAGAAGGAACAGGATGGGTTAGAGGGAGGGCAGGGTGTGGGTGGCCCTTTTGCCCTGAGGTCTAGGCCTCAACTCACTTTCCCCTCCTGGCTCTCCCTACCAGCACCCTCCCTGTCCCAGCCCCTTGCTCTTCTGGAAACAAACCAGCCCTATCTCATGGGGAGAGATGTCTGGCTACCCTCCAAGAAACAAGAGGGTGGGGACTGGCTCGAGGCCCAGCAGGGAAGGGAGACAGCCCGCTGCAGAGGGACTGAGAGTCTGGAAGCCCTGTCTATCCTAGAACTGCATAGGAGGCCAGGGCCTGCCTCCTGTCCCAGGGTGGTAGGAAACAAGGCCCACAGCTGCCTATAGAGCCCTCCCCGCCATGGGGGGTGGGGATGTGGACCAGCACAGACCAGCAGGGGCCAAGAAGACTACTTGCTTACCGGAAGGCAAGGCGCACCCTATGGGGCTCCCCATGGCCTAACCCATCCTCACCCACTCCACCAAATGCCTATATCCTGTCCCAAGTCTAATGCCACCATCCAAGTAGCCCAGAGACCAGCCATCATCTCCCTGTTTCTTGAGAGAAAAACCTCTGTTAATGTTCCAGCCCACAGCAAGGGGACCCCCACATCCCACACCAGCTTCAATTTCTCTGCCTCCACCACTAGCTAGCAGCCACTGGACACTGGGGTGCATTCTGAGCCCTGGGCTCCCCCTAGGAAAAATAACAGCCCACTGCAGGAACTCAGGACAGCTGGAACACAAGAGGGCCTTCCTGGCCCCCAGGGCAGTGACCCGCCATCCTCAGAGACCAGCTCCATGTCCTCCAGGTTCACAGTTCGTGAAGCCTCCTTCCCAGAGTATTGAGCAGTTTAGTTCTCCCTGGGAAGGTACCCACCTGGACCTCCCCAGGGCCCAGCACTGGTTGAGTAAACCATGAAGCCCCAGGGGCTCTGTGGAGGCTGGTGGAGTGGGAAGAGCTGGACACCCTGGGCAGGGAGGGCTAGCCAGGGTGGGCACCATGCATGTTGCCTCTGCCCAGGACTGCCTACAGAGCATCAGGAGCTTTCTGAAGACACACAGCAGCATTGCCACCATCCTGACCTGTGCCAGCCTGGCCCTCATGGTAGGCACGCCCTTCTTTCCTGCCCTCCCATCCATCCTCCTGCCCTGCCTGGTTCCCTCCCAAATAGGACAGCCCTAGGCTATTGCTCCAGGCCAGGACTGTGGTCTCTGAATTTCCAGCCTCCTCAGGCCCTGGCAGCAGGAAGGAGTCAGTCTCTCTGACCCCAGGGAGGTGACCTGAGGGTGACAGTATCTGCCTTGATAGGTAAAAAGTAGCCATATGACGAATAGCATTGATCAGGAGGAAGCACCAGGACACAGATAAAACTCCATCGGAATAGAGTTTATTAGCAAAAAAACACATGGGACAGATTCCCTTCTGGGCAGGGAAAATGTCTGCCCAGGTAGTGAGCTGGGGTCTTTTTAAAGGGGGTGACTTCTTAAAGGGAGTGGCTTCTGCTTCCTGCACACAGCATCAAGTCGTTTTTTTTTTTTAGTTGGGGGGGTGGGAAAGCAGGACTGTTAAAACCTGTCCTCTTTAGAGATCAAAGAGGAAGTCTGCTGTGTTGGCCAAACAGTGGAGAAAAGTCTGCTTCTCTTGATTTCAAAGACCAGGGTGATTATCAGCTCGGTTCCCTTTTCTCAGGGGCTTGTGAAGTCCATGAGGCCCTGTTGGTGAGGGGGTGGGGCTATCTGAACCTTAACATACCTCATGCCTTCTGCTTCCCAATGCTGTAGTCTAGAAACTTCCTTTAGCAGCAGAAAGGCCCCACCCCAGGGCTGTTGGCAGGCTGCTGACTGGTGGGCATCTCCCTGGCCTGCCCTAGGTATACGCCATGATGCTCTGTGCCTTCCTTTGGTTTACCATTCATTCCCACTGTGGCTTGGATCGAAGAGGCAGATACACCCTTACCGCACGGTAGGTCCCTCTCTCTCCTCAAGGGTCGGAAGATGGTACCATAGGGCCCCAGGGTGTCTATGCCTCTCACCACTGAGGTATTGACCCTGCCCAGGAGGTGAGCCCGCCTATGGTCTCCTTTTTGTCCAGCTCCAGTCCCCGAGGAGCCCTGGCCTCACTCTGCTACTTCCCTACTATCAGCAGAGAGAGAGATGGGGATTCTGGGTCTCCAAATACAGCCTTCAGGTTAGGATATCTGGTCTTGGAACACCCAGGAGTCCTCATGCAAAGGGGCAGGAAGGACCCAGACCCCAGCCAGGAAAGCCCTCTTGCTCCCACAGCATGTAGGCTTCCCTTCGCCAGCTCCACCCACCCACTCTGATCTGGCCTCTAGACCTCTGGGCCCAGCATCTGCCTAGCCCCTGTATTCTGAAGATAGCCTTGCCAGTCCCTTAATGAGCACACATGCACATTTACAGCTGCAAGTGTGTCAAGGCTGGAGGACAAGCTCGGATGCCATCCTCAGGAACCCTGTCCTCCTTGGAGACAGAGTCTTTCCTTGGCTTGGCTTGGAGCTTACTAAGTAAGCTAGAGACTGGCTGGTTAGAAGGCCCCAGAGAGCCTCCCATCTCCACCTCCCCAATCCTTGGATTACAATGTGTGTGTGCCACCACGCCTGGCATTTTTTTGTGGATTCTGGGAATTAAACTCAGGTCCTAATGCGCATAAGGCAAGCGCTTTAAAAATATATATTATTTAACTGGGAGGGGAGCATATGTCAGTGCCTCCAACTGAGTCAGCCCCCACCCCTCTTGGACATATTTGCAATACCCTCTGGAACACTCTGGGAAAGCCTCATCATCCCCCTCTAGAGCATCCTGGGATGGATTTGCAGTCCCCTCTAAATGTTCTACAACAGTCTCACTGTCCCCATAGAACATTCTAGAAAAGAGTCCTAGTCCTTCCTAGAACATCGTAGAACCACCTCACTGTTTCCTCTGTCTCTCAGACCCCATGACTGTCAGCCCCAGGAGCCCAGCCTCTTCAGATGGACCCAGGGTAGGCCAGCATCTCGATGCCCCTCCGAAGCACAGGCGTTTGCTAACCATTGGGTCTAGTAGGATGTTTGGATGGCTCCGAGGGGGTTCAGGACTGCTGCGCTGCTTCATGCCTGCCCTGCCACCTGCCTGCCCACGGAGATGAAGATGCTGCCCACCAGCACTCACACAGTCCTCACATGAGGTGACATGGTGAGGCAGGAGAAGGGAAGACCGTACCAGATGTGCTGGTGACTTTGGCGTTGCTGCAGCTGGATTCCCGACAGAAACAATTTAGGGGAGGAAAGATGTTTCTGGCTCACGGTTTCAGGGAAATTTGTGTCTGTTATGGCAGGGAAGGCAGGGAGGAATAGCTATATCTGCAGCGGTGGGAACGGGTGGGGAAACTGTTCACATGCTGGAGGGTAGGTATATCAGTTCCTTTCCTGTTGCTGTGACAAAACGCCATGACCAAGGCAACTCATAGAGGAAAGAATTTATTTGGCTTATGGTTCCAGAGGGGCGGGGGGGGGGGGGCGGAGAAGAAAGCTAAGCGCTCAGGTCTTCACGCATGCACAACAAGGGGAGTGACAGCCAGACTGGATGTGGACCGAGGCTATGAACCCCAAAGCCCACCCCCGGTGCTGTGCTTCCTCCAGCAAAACCACACCTAAAGATTCCATGACCTTCCCAAACAGGGCCACCCACTGGAGACTGTACACCGAATGCTTCAGCCTATGGGGGAGAGTTCTCATTCAAACCACCACACTAGGTACCAGGGTAAAGCAATCGCCTTAATTTTCTTGGGGCCAACCTGGAGTAGAGATGACTTTGGCCCTGTCGTCATGGTGATGATAAATGTAGAGCCATATGGACATAGCTAGGTTTTCTGGTAATGGCACGGGGCTGTTAGTACTCCCTAGTTGAGGGAAGAGAAGGGGGTCACCAGACCCTCCTCTGGAATTCCAGCCACCGCTCCCTCCTGCTAAATGCACATGATCTTGTGAGGTGCTAGAATGAACGGCGTGAGAGGTTTACTGAGGGGGGACTCCATGTTCCAGCTTCCGTAAGGTTGTCACCCATCATGGGGTGGACTTTCTGGTGATGCATCCGTTTGGGGGGGTTACCCAGACTCCTATTAAGTAACTCCACCCATGCTCACCCCAATAAACCCACTGGTTCACCAAATCAAACTTGGTGGGGTCTCTTCTTTGGTCTGCTGTCTGAGCCCCATCTGGGGTGAGCAGATGTTTGTTCATGTCCAGGGAAGTAACATAATAGCAGAAAACAGCAAGAATGGAACAGGGGCAGGTGTGACCTCCAAAGCCAGTCCCCGGTGACCTATTTCTGCCAGCCAGGTCCCACTTAAGGCTCCACAGCCTCCGAACTAGCACCATAAGCTTAGGACAGAGCATTCAAAACATGAGCCCATCGGGGAGAGAACCCTTCGGATTCAAACCATGACACTAGATAAACTCACATGAGCCTGTGGGAAACACCTGAGATCCAAACCAAGTATATCAGTTACTTTTCTGCTGCTGCGATAAAACACCACGATCAACGCAACTCATAGAAGACTTTATTTGCGCTTATAATTCCAGGGGTAAGGGTCTGTAATGGTGGGTAAGGCATGATGGAAGGAAGTGCCCAGAGAAGAAAGCCCAGTGATCACATTTTCAAGCAGGCACGGGAAACAAAGAGGAAATCTGGCTTAAGAACTCTCATAGCCTCCCCCACCAATGGGCTTCCTCCAGCAAGGCCATACCTCCTAAAACCTCCCAAAACAGTGCAGCCAACTGGGGACAAAAATATCAAAATACTTGGAGGCTATGGGGAACAGTCTCATTCAAACCACCACACCGTGACACCAGGAAACTCACGTGAGCCTGTGGAGACCTTCCACATTCAATCCATGACACCAGGTAAACAGACTCCATGAAGAACAGAAACACCCAGGGTGATTTGCCAAGTCTATAGAACAGGCCAGGATCAGTAAAGACAGAGGAAGACTGACAGCCCAAGCACAGATGCCGTCCTGCGCCGGCCATGTCTGGACACTGCCACATTCACTCTCTGTGCTTTGTAACAAAGAGCACAAATCTGGCAGCTGTGTCTGGTCCTGTCATTGTGACAAAGTACCGAAGAAAATCAACTTAAAGGACAAAAGGTTTGACTCACGTTTGCAGAGGACTCTGAGGCTTCTGGGGCCTAAGATGAGGCAGAACATGGGAGGGCTGCATATAGTAGAGCAAAGCTGACACCTCATGGTGGCCGGAGAGCAGAGAGAAGGACCAGGGACAAGGGGTACCCCAAGGGCCTCGCAAGGGCACACCCCAAGGACCTGCTCTTAGCTTCCTCCCCACAAAATATTCTTCCAGAGGACCAGATTTTGGGTCCCAGCACCCACATGGTGGCTTACAACCACCTGTAACTCAGACTCCAGGGGACCCAACACCCTCCTCTGGCCTCATTAGGCAACTGCAGTGGTGCACATACACCCCACACAAACACGCAGACACATAATTAAAAATAAAAACTCTTTAAAATACCAACCCGTTCATCAATTATTCCATTGATTAGGTCAAAACCCTCACAGTCTAACCACTTCCCATAACCCTAACCTCTGAACACTGCCCTGGGGGAGCACGCCTTCGGCTCTTAAGTCTGGAGTACATCTCCTGACAGCAGCCTCGAGAAGCAGTCGCTCACTGTCTCATGGTTCTGGGAAAGTCCAAGTGAGGAAGACAGGTTCTCCACTCAGCCTTTCAGGCCAGAAGTAAGAGGACAGATGGGCGGGGCCTTACTCAGAGGCTTCTAGAAGAATCCCCTTCTGGGCCCACTTTAGCCGTTAGAAGAATCCAGTTCCGTGCAGTTATAGGCTTATGGTCTTTCTCTTTGCTGCCTCTCAGCTGGGGTGGCTTTCTGCTCTGAGAAGTTGCCCGCCTCTCCTCCTCACCCCTGTCTCCTTCAGACACACAGGGTGGGCTGAGCCTTCCACGCAGCCAATTCTCCGACGTCCATCAGTGAGGAAAGCCTCTGCTCTAAGAGCCTCATGATGACCTTCCTTTGTGGAGGAGAATCCTTTCATCTAAGTACTGGTGAGATGCACGGTCGGTGAACTGGCCACCCGATCTTGTTCAAGTGCATAGCCCAGCAGCATTTTCACCGCCACTGTCAGAATTAGCTCCAGTTGTCAACTTGACACACCTGGGGAGAGGGAATCTCAATTGAGGGAGTTTCTCCATCAGATTGGCCTGTGTCATGTCTGTGACACATTTTCTTCATGACTGATATTGGAGGGCCCAGGCAGGTGGTCCTGGGCTGTATAGGAAAGGTAGCTGAGCAGCCAGGGGAGCAGGCCAGTACGTAGCACTCCTACGTGGTCTCTCCTTCAGGTTTCTGCCTGAAGCTCCTGTGTTGGCCTCCCTCGATGATGGATTCTGAAGTGTAAAATGAAATAAACCCATTCCTCTCCAAGCTGTTTGTGGTCGGTGTCTTATCACAGCAACAGAAAAGCAAACTGAGGGGCCACCATCCGCCTCCAGAACTTACTTTCTTCCCAGACTAAAACTCTGTCTCCCCATTCAACACTCACCCCCAGCCCCAGCTCACCATCAGTTTTCTCTCTCTATGGACCTGGTGACTCTAGGGACCTCTAGGGAGTGCAACTGTACAGATGTGTTCCTTTGTGACTGGTTTGTCTTGGTACAGTGTCTACATGGTTCATCCGTGTTGCAAGGTGACACACAGCTTCTGAAGGAGACATCTTTCCATGGTTACAGTGACCTCACAGTCACCTGCTAAGCGATTATGGTAGGACAAAGGGGGAAGGGGGCAGAATTTAAAGCTCTTGCCTTCCACAACCACTGTCACAGGACAGCCAAGCCACCTTTATCGTGAATTGTCACCCGCCATTGCTGAATATGTGCATGATTTGCTCAAACTGCTGAGTCCCAAGGTGATGTATCAGCCTCGCCAAAGCTAAGACCCCATGCGTCCTACAAGAGAACTTCCCCTAAGGGAGGTGCCTCCCACCCAGATCCACCTAAGGAGGCCCCCCGAAATCAGAGCCATCCCACAATGAGCAGACACCACCAGGAAAAGGTCCGTTACACCCACCTCGTTTCTGATGCTCACACTCCTTCCCACACATTCACTTTCCAAAATAAGGCATTCTCACCTCCCACAAAGCACACCACACCTGAAAACTCACGGGACTTGTCCCCCCGAGTGTTCTGCCGTGTGCCAGTCTGGGGTCCCTGGTGGCAGGTGCTCCCCTCGGGTTCTGGTCTTGTCATCTCAACCTATGGAAGCACACCTGTAATCCCAGCACTCAGGAGGCAGAAGCAGGGGGATCTCTGTGAGATCAAGGCCAGTCTACATAGTGAGTTCCAGGCCAGCTGGAGCTACAAGGAGACCCTGTCTCGAAAAATAAAATAAAACAACAAAATAAAAAGAAAAGATCCCATACACAGGGACGGTGGGAAGAGAAGTGAGGTGTATGGAGTACAGCACGAAGAGGGACTCCATCAGATGCCTCTAGAGAAGACTCACCTCTGAGCCGGCCACCCGCCGCCTGCTGTGACATGAGTCCCTAGGTTTCCTGCTGCTTGGGGCGTTCCATTCTCCTTCGGTAATCTCTTGTTGACCTTGTTGCCATGCCCTTCCCCCACCTTATATCGCCGATATGGTGGGATGAGGAGAGAGCCCAGAGCACCTAAGCCTACCCACAAGGAGTATCATCAAACCTATTTCCTCACATAAGCATTACTCAGCCAGCACCAGGGGCCCCCTTTAGGGCCTCTTAACCCGGTGGCAGAGGAGCCTAAAGTGGCCAGGTGGATCCAAGCTTCCAACCCAGTAGGACACTTACTTTGTTTTCTGGCCCCGTGTTGGCTACTGAGATTGTAAGTCCCCTGAGGACGAGAGACAGTCCTTCTGTGATAGTCCATTGGCTGTCATCATAGTGCAAGGAATAAATCATCACGGTCCATTTTCAGTACGAGGTGCATTTAGAGCTCATTAGTTACAGATGAGCCGGAGGCTCTGGGCCCTGTCTTCCCTCCCTGGAAGCTGGTCCTGCTTGTCCAGATGATCTCAGTTCATCCTAGGGTTGAGGAGTTACAGGTGATTTGCTACATGACTGAGTTCACGTGTCAGAAGAGGAAGGAATCTGGAGCCCAGGGATGCACAGCACATAAGGTTTTGCATCCTGAACCAATAGGATGAGGGATCTGGGGAGAAAGCGGTAGTACTAGACACTGGGAAGACTGAACCTCCCTGAGGGAGTGAGAAGTGACACCTCCACTGTCCCCTCAGGCTTCCAACCTGGGGATTCTGGTTTAGGGGAAACACATTTTCCTACTGGAGCCACACGCTATGGACACTGTGCAGACTTGCAGTGGTGTCTCCCCAGTGTGGCTGTGTCTATATAATTCACCACAAGTTATCCACCACCCCGTAGAGCTGCCTCTTTTCAGTAACAGCTTGAATGATGACCCCAGTGAGTCCCAGGACACCTCCCTGTGACCTTGTGCCTCTGACCATAAGGTTACTTCCTTTCCAAGGAACACGCACATGTGGTGCTTTGGTTTGGATGCAGAGCTCAGCGTTAAGTGTTGAAGTCCAACCCCCATTGTGAGTGGAGCATTGTGGGTGATTCCAGTGAGGGTGCGGAAGACAGATCAGGGAAGAACTAGGACACTTTAGAGTCTACCTAAGCAGTCATGATTAGAATGCCGGTGGAAATGTGGACGGTCAAGACTGGGCTGATGAGGGCTCGGATGGAACAGAAGATTCTCCTGGAAGACAAAGTGGAGGCCAGCCTCCTCAATCCTGCAGCAAAGAACTTGGATGCCTCTGGTCCATGAAGAGACTTGGTGGGAGGCTAAATGACAAACTTCATTTGCTGAAAGAAATCTCAACAGAGTACAGCATTCAGGCTGTGGCAGTGGGTATCTGTGCTGGTTAGGTGTTTTTAAAAAAGATTTTTTTTTTTTTGGTCTTTTTGAAGCAGGGTCTCCCTGTAGCCCCAGCTGTCCAGGAACTCACTATGTAGACCAGGCTGGCCTCGAACTCACAAAGATCTGCCTGCCTCTGCCTCCCAAATGCT